AATGGAACACCCTGTATATTATTACATTTTTAGTTTCTACGATTAAAATAAAGGTAAATTTGATAAAGGATTATTATACTTAAACCTTACCGTTTTTGAAATATTTTCAATTTTGTGAAATTGCAGTCAAAATTTTAAGGCTTCCTTTCACCAAGGGTATCAAAGATTTTAATACTAAATATTTACTGAAGTATATCTATTGATCAGTTATTGTGTTGCAATAATAAAAATTATACTACCTTATACAGAGTGTCTAAAATTTTATTTTAAATAATTACTAGCTTTCAACGGCAATAACTTGTTTAATTTAAATGGAACACCCTGTATATTTTATGAGAATCAGATGCACAATTTAATTGTCTATCAAATTGTATTATACCATTTTTTACCTATCTCTTCAAGTTTCCGTAGAAAATGCATTTTCTTGTAATTTAAAACTCATTTATCAATATACCCATGGAATACTGATATTTTAGATTATTTTTAAAGATGTACCAAATTTTTAAAGAGTACAGATACTAATATCGTCGATATAGCTTGTTATTTCATTAAAAATAAAAAAAAACTGTTTAAATATTTGTCAAAGAGGACCAATTAATATGATTCTAGTATTCAAACCACATTAATTGACTGTTTTCGTTGATTAATAATAATTGCTCCGAATACTAAAAAACTAAATTTTGTATGTATATTAGACAGTGTGGTAACACCTTAAAAATGATTTCATTTTTTGACAAATGCTTATTTATAACAACAGAGACATTCATTTTCATAACTTATTATTATATTGATTTCTAATTCAAATCCACATTTATTTAGAATAATTTATTAACGAACATAATTAAGTATGTAATTAATTAGTATTTGGGCGGAATACCATTTGGTGGTATATTTAATTAATAGTATACTCTTTTAGAAAGATTTAAATAGTTTTTTTTGCATACAAATGGGCTAGTAATATTATTGTTTTTAGCAAAATGATATTACTAGCCTGTACATTTTGTACATTTGTTGCTTTTAAAACAATCTAAAATGTCAATATTCCATGGGTATATTATAAATGAGGTCTAAATTATAAGAAAATGCATTTTCTACCAAAACTTAAAGGGATAGGTAAAAAGTGGTATAATAAAATTTGATAGACAATTAAATTATGCATCTGATTTTCCTAAAATATACAGGGCGTTCCATTTAAATTAAACAAGTTATTGCCGTTTAAAGCTAGAAATAATTTAAAATAAATTTGTGGACACTCTGTATAAGGTAGTATAATTTTTAGTATTGCAGCACAATAACTGATCAATAAATAAACTTCAATAAATATTTAGTATAAAAACTTTAATACCCTTGGAGAAATGAAGCCTTAAAATGTTGATTGCAATTTCACAAAATTGAAAATATTTCAAAAACGGTAAGGTTTAAGTGTAATAAACCTTTATATCAAATTTACCTTTATTTTAATCGTAGAAACTAAAAATGTAATAATATACAGGGTGTTCCTTTTAAAAAATACAACTTTGATATTTTTTATTTATTTAGGACACTCTGTATCTTGTAAAAATATTTTTAAATTGTAGCTCTAATAGTCCTTCAACGAACCCAAACGTTACAATTTGTAAAAATCTAATCTTTTAGCTACAATACTCCGTGTCGTATGTGGTGAACAACCCTGTATATTTCTTTAATTCCTTTGTTATTTTTGTGTGGCTATTAGTTTTTGTTGTTTAATTTTAATGCCATTATGACCTTTTTAAATTCTCTATACATGTTGAGTAATTGTTAGAAAAAAAATTGTATAATGAGAAAAATAAATAATAATAACTTTGGAAATTTAAAAAAAAGGTATTTGAAATTTGAAACCCATAACCTGTCTATACTGTCTATACATTTGTGGTGGGTTCATTTTGATTAGAAAATAAATATCTCCAAGAGTACGTAATACAGAAGTACGAACTTAAGTATAGAAGAACCTGTTGTAAGTAAAAAAATTGTCTCAAATTTTCAGAAAGAAAATATTAGTTATCTAGATGTTATTAGACAAAAGTCCATGTATATTAATACTGATTCATACGGCTATTTATATTTGATAACAATGAAACTATTGGTTACGTAATCGCGGGCGCGACTTTTAAATTCATTGTTGCCAACCATGAACATATTCGGCGCCGGGATATCTCACTGAAATTTAAATTTCCTGTAAAAATTTTTAAGTTGTCACATTTATTTATTTATTTCCTGACATTGTCATTCGTTTTGACACTTTAATTTTGTATTACGAGTTTTAATTTAAATAAATAATGCTGTGATACTTTAAGCTTAAAAATGTTTACTAGCAGACCTGGCAGTTGAACATTGTTCTTTTTAGAACCTCTTTTAGTGCGAAGTGTCCAAGATAGCTTAATAGCCGTAAAAAACTCATCGCAACTTTATTAGAATATTTTGAACTGGAAAGCGTTACTAATGGCCTGTTATGTTCCTTAAGTGCTGTTAAGAAGGTGAGTTTTATTGATGTTAATAATAACTGTCTTTATAGTTAATTTATTTTTGTTTTCTAAAATATTTTGATTAAATGAAAATATGTAGAACTCTGTGCCGGTCAACCTTAATCACGTGACCAAAAGTTTATTTGGTATGAACTATAGTTTTTTTACTTAGAACAGATATCTTCATTCTTTAGCGGTTCTCTCTTAAACTGTATTTTTAAGAATTGCTCAAAAATATATTTTCAGTTCGACATATAGAATGTTAAGCAATCGTTCAATGTTACGTCATATATTATCGAACTCTCTCAATCACTTGACAACCGGATAAGAGACATTGGTGACGTCATTACGGCATTTCGTAAATTACTGCATATTATTTTAGTAATTGTCATTGTCATTTGATTTGGGGTTATAGTTTTATTGACGGACATCGATCAATGTCAAAATTAAAAATCGATTGTTGCTGTCAAACAAAATTCAAATTTTTTTATTGCGAAAATGCCTCAAAGATGTTGTCAAAATGAACAAGAGCTCATTGCTAAGCTTATAAATTATTTTCTCGAGAAAGAGACGCTGATAGAACACTTTTCTCGTGGATTCCGTATATGAAGTAAGTACAATGCGAAGGTATAATATTTCTTAGTAAAATACAAATTGATAGCGTTTTTAAAAAATAATATAGAGAGTTGCTGATGCTTTAAAAATGGGAATTTCTAAAGCATCAGCAACTTAATTTTTCAACGTTTCCGGAATACATTACAGTTGAGGGTTGGAACCTTTGGTGTTACACAGCAAAATAAAACACTAAATCACCATAATACACCAAAACACTTTTAATTTTACACTGGACGCGCGTTTCGCTAACCATGTTAGCATCATCAGCAGATGATTATAAACTAAAATACAATCTACAATTGGAGCGTTTATATACTCGCTCAGTGAGCACAGAATGGGCGTGGCAAGATCTAGCCAACCGAGTCAGAACCCACCGAGCGTAACAGTTAGATTTCCGCCACTAGAGTAGTAGGAACAAAGAACTTGAAGGAATTGGATCTGTTCATACTATCTTTACATTTATTAATTCTGATGCTTTCATATGCATCTAATTGCCTGTAATTTGAGACTTGTTTAAGTAATTTTAAGTTATTAAGATCTATACAATGTTCTTTATCAAGAATATGTTCGGCAACGCAAGATTTATCAGGTCTACAATATCTTATCTGAGCTAAATGTTCTTTAAATCTAGTTAATATTGATCTTCTAGTTTGCCCAACATATTTCTGATTACAATCTTTACAAGAACTTTCATAAATACCCGACCTTTCCAGTAGAATTACAACAATTATTAGGTAATCCAAAAGGATAAAACACCTCTACTGGAAAGGTCGGGTATTTATGAAATTTCTTGTAAAGATTGTAATCAGAAATATGTTGGGCAAACTAGAAGATCAAAAGATCACTAGATTTAAAGAACATTTAGCTCAGATAAGATATGGTAGACCTGATAAATCTTGCGTTGCCGAACATATTCTTGATAAAGAACATTGTATAGATCTTAATAACTTAAAATTACTTAAACAAGTCTCAAATTACAGGCAATTAGATGCATATGACAGCATCAGAATTAATAAATGTAAAGATAGTATGAACAGAGACAACGGTCTAATTCCTTCAAGTTCTTTGTTCCTACTACTCTAGTGGCGGAAATCTAACTGTTATGCTCGGTGGGTTCTGACTCGGTTGGCTAGATCTTGCCACGCCCACTCTGTGCCCACTTAGCGAGTATATAAACGCTCCAATTGTACATTGTATTTTAGTTTATAATCATCTGCTGATGATGCTAATATGGTTAGCAAAACGCGCGTCCAGTGTAAAAGTAAAAGTGTTTTGGTGTATTGTGGTGATTTAGTGTTTTATTTTTCCGGAATACAGTTCGGACCATTTGCGTCTAGCCCCAGCAAGGCAAGTATTAAGTTTTGGTTATCGTGGTTATTTGGAGGGTGTTAATTCATTGGTTATTTGGTGGGGTTAGTTGGTTTTTACTAATTTATATTTTTGGGCGATTAGTTTTGATGGCGATTAGTTGTTCAGTTTTCAAGTGTAAAAGTGTGTTAAAGTTTCAAAGTTTCATAGGAAAATAAGCAGTCTGCTCCACCTTTTTAGCGTTTTCTTAGTTTTCTTATTGAATTCGATAATTATTTTTCTGATATTATATGTACTTGATGTGTGCTATACGTCGATACTAGTTTTGTACTTTTTGTTAACATTTGAATACGGCTATTTGTAATTAATTAGTATGATACCACCGCCTACATCATAGGCGTAGTCAAAACATTTATCAAAAATATAAATATCCCTTCAAGCAGCTAAGTTAAGAAAAATATATGGCCACGGCACTGATTGGTGCCATGGTAACAATTTGGTCTCGGGTGTTATTTATGTTTGGATTCTTTAGTCATTGATTCGGACCACCCTGTACAATAATGACGTAACGGTGAACAATGGCTAAACGGTCTTAAACTTTGAATAAAAAAAATTCTTAGTCTTTTATAATCATAGTAAAAAAATCCATAACATTCATAATAAGTACCTACAATATGTTCAACGAATGTCTTATTCTATTTCTATACTAAATATTATAAATATTATGTACATTTCATACAAAAAAGACAACTTTTATTACTAAGTCTCTTCATCACATAAATGTTCAATCTCATCACAAATTTGAGTATTTTTTAACGTTATCACTAATCACTACTTTTTACAATGAAATCCATAATTTTACTTAAGTCGACACTCACGACCCTAAATTGTGACTGTGATTCGTCAGATGGAAGTACGGCGTATACGTACCCGAACCGGCCGGTTGCAGAGGATAAACCGACCCGTACGGTACGTGATGAGAGTACAAAAGTCCAGAATGCGCGTGATGCCCGGGGAAACCCGCAAACCCACCTCCAGAACTGGGCGGAGGCACGGTGGGAGAATTCACGTCCATGCCCGGGTTCTGCTTCTTCCACTTGGTGCGACGGTTCTGGAACCAGATTTTTACCTGGGTCTCTGTAAGACTCAGGCTAAGGGCCAGGTTGAGCCGTTCGCACACGCTCAGGTAGCGCGTCGTTTTGAACTTGTTCTCGAGGGCGACCAACTGTTCGTAGGTGAAGGCGGTACGGGCGCGCCGTGGTTTGCCCGCGTTTTGTGATTTTGAGTCGCCCTTTTTCTTTTTGGAGCCGGGGTCTTTGGGGTCCTCGCTCACGTCGCTGCGGAGGTCGTCGTCGTCGTCGGATTGGTGGTCTTTAACTGGAACAAAAACATCGGGGTCAATAAAGAATTAGAAAGGGAGGATAAAATCCAGTAGTTATGGTTGGAACAGCGATATTTTAATAACTGGTAGAAGCTGTTCCAGTTGCAAAAGATAACTGTACCAAGGACCCGTTTCAGTTCCAAATTGTTCTAAAACGTAGATTAAGGTCGTATTTGCGTAGTGCTGATGTCTGTATCCTCTATTTTAGTTTTCAGTAGCACTAGAGCGTACCCCGAATTGTTGCCGTTATCGCTTCCTCTGTTAAAATATAAAATAATTTTAATTTCTTCGTTTTTTTAAATGGAACACCCTGTATATTATTTTTTCAATAGATGGATAATTAAAAAATGAACATATTTTGTATTTAGAGTATTTCAACATTTTTAACGGTTTCGCAGATATTTGCGGTTTTATATTTCATATGGCATTTTCCATAGTAAACCTTTTCAAAGTCCACAAAAAATTTTCTGGCGTATTTTACCATTGAAAGCGCCATATGAAATAATACTGCGTGTATCTGCGTGCATTAAAAATTTTGAAATACTTTAAATACAAAAAATGTTCTTTTGTTAATTCTCCATCTAATAAAAAATAATATACAGGGTGTTCCACTTAAAAAACAAAGAAAAATTATTTTGTATTTTAGAAAGCTTGCGAAGAAGAATTGAAATTAGAATTGAATTGAAATTTGAATTTTGAGCATCCTGTATGATTGAAAAGATTACGTTATTATAGCAAAGTTAAGTATAGACCGTCTAAAGTAACTATTACATACATACATACATACATACAGCCGTTACTCGCTGACGAGTATTCGACACATATAAAGAAGATGGTCACCAAGGCTTTTTATTTCATGAGCTTTTCCTTACTGAAAAGCCCGATACGTGATGTTATCTGCCTACCGCACTCCGGACATTCAAAAATCTCATTGCTTTGTTGCCTCTTTACTTTTTGGTTGTCGCTGTTAACTGAGTTTACAACCCTTCTCCATCAGGGCCGTACCTGGGGGGGTGTTTTGGGGGTTCAAACCCCCCCCCCCGAAATTATGGCCGAAAATTTTTAAAAAGTAATGATCATTAAGTAAGTAAGTAAGAACGAAACAAAAAAGAAGAAGAAGATGGATGAATATCAATGACTAAAGAATACCAGAACATGTAACGCCCATATACGGGCTGCAGAATTTGTGACCTTAGACGCCAACTTTTTAGACATAACGACATCATCAGCTGGTCATCAGCTAAAATTTTAGCGATTTTTAATAGTTGTAGTAAATGGTTGTGTGTAGTGAACTTTGTATAAACTTTATTACAATGGTAATTTGTTCAGCCTTCAAGTGTAAAAGGCGCAATGATAAGAAAGAACCAGAAGTTACGTTTTATAGGGAAATAAACAGTCCCCTACACCTTTTTAGTGTTTTTTTTTATTGAATTCGATAATTATTTTTCTGATATTATATGTACTTGATATGTACTACACGTCGATACTAGTTATGTGCCTTTTGTCAATATTTTAATACATTTTTTTCATAATTAATTAGTATATGATACCACCCGATACACCATAGGCGTAGTGAAAACATATAATATCAAAAATATAAATATCCCTTCAAGCGGCAATGTTAAGTAAAATATGTGCCACGACACTGTTTGCAAGAATGGTCACAGTTTGGTCTCGGGTGCTATTTGTCCTTGTATTCTTTAGTCATTGATGAATATACATTATACACCCTAACCTCACTTTTCCACTTTGAAAGCAAATGTCATTTTCGATTTTCGACTTTCAACATTCAAGTGTTTAAAACAGCAAAAGTTTGACAAGGACAAGATTTTGAATGTTGTGTGTTTTGCTGGTCATTAACGTGATTAACGTTTGTTATTGTTCTGCTATTAAACAAATAATTCTTGGACTATGACACTTTAGCGGCAAAACTAGACTTATGGCGGCAAAAATGGAAACAGCTACCTGCAGTCGACCGACCTAAAAACGCCATCGAAACGATAATCGGAGTGTAACCAGTGTATATTTCCAAATATATACATTTTATTAATGATCCTAGCAACTCTATCAGTGTCAACAGCTACACCAGAAAGGTCTTTTTCAACCCTAATGCCGCAACCGCACATGCGGTATTCGGCGATCTCGGATCGGGGCTTCGCCGATTTCCTATGTGTGTGAATGAGGAAGTCGGAGTTCGGCGACTCGATCGGCGGCGAGAACGAGCGCTCGTCTCTATGTTGTTGCTATCAGAGCCCGCATGTGTGGATGGAAAGGCGAAGTCCGATCACGAGCGTTCGGTAGTTGACGAGCGCTCGGAGTTCGCTAAATCCCGCATGTGCGGTTGCGGCATAAGACGATTGAAAGACTTCCTACGTAACTCTACAGGTCAGGAGCGATTGACAGGACTTGCTCTATTAAGCGTACATAGAGAAATAAATATCGATATCGAAGAGGTAGTCAATCGTTTTTCCAGGGAAAAGACCAGTTTATCCTTTAAGATTAATAACTTTTACCTGTTACTTTTTTAAAATTTTATTTTCAATTAAGATTTGAGTGTAGCCCAAAGCGATTTTTTATTATGCTTTTTTCCTAGCAGCTTTTGTACCCCTCCCCCAAGCCGAATCCCCCGAAATTTTGGTCTAGATACGGCCCTGTTCTCCATTGAGTTCTATTGTGAGCTGCTTTTTCCCACTCATTCTGCTTTTCAGTTGTCCACCCGGCCTCCTCTTACCGTCTACAAGCTCACCGTAAAGCAGAGATTTTGGTATGCGGTTTTCTTGCATTCTGCATACGTGACCAGTCCATCTTAAGCGGGATTTTGTGACCATGACTTCAATACTCTCGCAGTTAGCTTTTTCAAGGACCGATACGTTTGAGACATGATGGAACCACCGGACTCTTAGGAGTTGTCTAAGGTGTCTCTGTTGCCTAAAACTTTACCTAAAAAATCAAAAGAAATACTTTACCTAAAAAAACCAAATACCTAATATAGTTTTGATTTCAGGACAGTTCTTGTATTTGTAATATTTTTTTTAATGAAGGTTGAAAAGTATATTTTTTTTATTTATTTATTTATTAATATCTCAGAAACTATCGAAATATATTTATTCATATTCTGAAAAATATATTTATTCATGATCTGAAAGGAAGCCAAAAATGCAATAATATATATAGTAAGAAAAATCATCCCAATCTACTCACACTTTTTTGAGTCACCCTATAGAAGTTAAAATATTTTTCTGAAATACATCCTTGTTCATACTTTAGGTTTACACTTAAACAAAATTCCCAAGTTTTTTATTCTAGGAGCTACAGATGCCCGCCGCACTCTTGCCGAAAAAGTATTTTTAAACCAAACCAAGCTATTGCCGGTCCCTGTAGGAAATCCCATGCAATTTTTGAACTGTCAAAATATCGGTTCCTCTATTGATTTTACAGGGAAGTCGTAAATAGGTTTTTTTAAAGGTCTGGAGTCCAGACCTCTGGACATGCTGAAAACACATGCCAATTTTGAAAAATTCATTTAAGAAAAACTACATCTATTTTTAAATTAAAACTGAACAAGTACCACCTATGATTGAATGCAATTTGTTGTGATGTCTACGCTACTATATTGTAGTTCCTACGGTGAATATACCCAATATGTATTTTTGTAATTTACAACTTAAAAATTAGATCAATTTAGTTCAAAGTAGACGAAATTCCAACAAAAACCTAATATTTAGGAAATATAATTTGACATTGACAAAATTATAAGTTGACAACTTAAGGTATATTGCCGTTTACCTGGCATTGTTGCATATTCAGTTTTAATTTAAAAATATATGCAGTTTTTCTTAAATGAGTTTAAAAAGTCTAGCCTAAAATTGTTCAAATTTGGCATGTATTTTCAGAATGCCCAAACTCCAAAAAATCCCATATGGGTATTTCGCCACTGCAAAATCTACAAAATAAAATAGTTATTTTTTGTATACACTTCTGGCGTTAATCCCAAACGGAAACTACTTGTTAGAAGTTATATAGGTTTGCAGAAATACAAATTTGCCTAACGAACAAAAAAATGCTTAACGTTTCGGAAAGTTTATCTCTTTCCGTCGTCGGAAGCAAGAAAAATATTTTTTTAACAGAACGTCAACGGTTTTTGTAGACGTTTTAAAAAAACTAAAGTGTTCTCGAATGATTTTGAATTTAAATATTTTAAATAGTTTTTTTCTTTATTCTTTTTATTTTTATTTTGTTTCCGACGACGGAAAGAGATAAACTTTCGTTAGGCAAATTTGTATATCTGTAAACCTAAATTCTGACAAGTAGTTTACGTTTGGGATTAACGCCACAAGTGTTTACAAAAAATAACTATTTTTTTTAGATTCTGCAGTTGCGAAATACCCATATGGGATTTTTTGGAGAGAGGATCCGCCACATAGGTTTAGACATATTTTACAATGCCCAAACCTTTAAAAAACCTATTAACGGCTTGTAAACGGTGAGTAAACAATAGAGAAGCCAATACTGGACTGTACAAAATTTGTATAGGTGTCGCAAAGATCTGTCTATCAAGACCTAGCAATAGTGATGAATTTAACGAGAGACTATATTCAAAATCTGGGGGGTCAACGTTTATGAGAAAAAACGAAGCTACTTATTTTTGGCGTAGAAGACGATCTATTACTGTATATTTATTAATAAAAAACAGCAACAATAAAATACATAGAAGAATTTCGATTCTCAATAGTTTTGAAAATGTTCGAACAACATTATCAGTTTCCAGTCAAAATATTGAACTTCGTACTGCAAATTAAAAAAAGTAGATTGTAAAAAACTAAGTACCTAATAATGATTGGACACGATTTTTTCATACCCTTTTAAGTTTCTGCCATCTTAACCAATGTTTATATTATTATAACTGTAACAAGAAATAACTGACATTTTATAACCTAAACACTCAAAATTCGCAGCGAATATTCACAAAAATTAAATCATTTTCAATACTCCCGCC